CTTTGCTCTTACTTCATTCCGGATTTGGCTTGAAGTCTTCCTCATGCGAGGTCCAAGCACCCTTTCTTGGAGTCTGATTGGGACCCCTTTCCAGTAATACACTCCTGGTGAACCACAAAAGGACGATATTGAGGAGACCCCTTACCCAAAGGAAATAGACTGCAACACCAATTGGCTAACTTTGGGTTAGTGGTGGGGTACGTTTTACCTGGGTAAAGGATGAGATTGGGTTAGAAGCCCAACTTAGGGGAGTTAGAGTCGCTCCTAAGACAGAGAGGGTTAAAGACCCCTCTTAATAAAAGGCAAGGATGCTTGACGAAACTTGGGTTTGAGGCCCAATTTAGGAAGGTTAGAATCCTTCCTAAGATTGAGGGAGTCAGAGATCCCTCTCAGTAAAGTCTCTCTTGGTTAAAAATGGATTTGGCACTATGAGGTATTAACTGCTATTCTCTTTGGGTTAATTTGCCTTGCACTCTTTGCTGATGGATGTGGGTGGCAGGATTAAGCATGTAGAGGATCATGGGGCATGGGGAGCTTTTTTCTCCCTAAAGGGGGAAACTTGAGAGCTGATCCCTTCAGGATGACAAGGGGCCGCCTGAATTTTTGAGTCAGTGTTGCTGCAATGAGATGTCAGCTAGAGTCATAGGAAATGGGGAAGGAGTTGCCACAGATGCCCTCCTGTAGGAATCTCAGTCTACCAGCTTCATCCCACCCCCACCACACCGCTTGGCTCAACCTTCTAAATTGTCAGTATGAAGGCACATGTCCCTGATGGAGTCTGTACTGTACCCACATTGTCAGAAAAGGGGCACAGTGTATGATAGGAGATAAGGGACTGCACTTCTGGTATCTGGGCCTCAGTTGGTTTGTTTCAAAATGCAACAGTAGTATTAGGTCACTCTCAGGGGTCCCCAGCACTAGGTTATAACTGACTGGGTGGCACAGGTTCATGCTGGCCTCCTGCTCTTCACAGAGGTCTCCTGGCTTAGGCTCCTGGATCCAGCAGGTACAGGCTCAGGCCCGCCTATTTCCAAAGTCCACTGCCTGTGCTCTGCCTGTTGGCCCCAGAGCTCTCACAGCCTGAGTTAAGTTTCATTTCTCTGAGTGCTCCTCCCTTGTTGTCCCAGGGCCCAGTCAATAATGTCCTTCTCCCCAACACACCCTTGCTGGGCCTTCCCACCTCTACAGCGGGGCCAGCTGGGGCAGGACAGCAGAGACAATCCTTTTTTGTTGTTTTTAATTTGGATAAAATACACATAAAATTTACCATCTTGATAATGTTTAATGATACAATTCAGTAGAATTATGTACATATACATTGTGCAACCATCACTGCCATCCATTTCCAGAACTCTTAATCTTGTAAAATTGAAACTCTGTACCCCTTAACAACAACTCCCCATTCCATGCTCTCCCCAGCCCCTGGCAACCACCATTCACCATTCTACTTTCTGTCTCCATGGATATATCTGTTCCAGGTACCTCATATCGTTGGGATCATACAGCATTTGTCTTTTTGTGACAAACATATTTCACTTAGCAGAATGTCTTCCAGGTGTATCCTTGCTATAGAATATGTCAGAATTTCCTTTCTTGCGAAGGCTGAATAATTGTATATATTATATTTTGTTTATTCATTTGTCTATTGATGGATGCTTGAGTTGCTTCCAACTCCTAGCTATTGTGAATAATGCTGCTATGAACATGGGTGTATAAATATCTTTTCAAGACTATGCTTTCCATAACTTAGAGCATTTATCCAAAAGTGGGTGTATGGGATTATAGAATTCTATTTTTAATTTTTTGACAAACTGTCATATTGTTTTTCATAGCAGCTGTACCATTTTACATTTCCACCAACAGTGCACAAGGGTTGCAGTTTCTCCACATCCTTCCCAACACGTGTTGCTTTCAGATTTTTTGGTTGTAGCCATCCTAATGTATGTAAGTTGATTTTGATTTTCATTTCTCTAATGATGGATGATGTTAACCATCTTTTCATATGCTTGTTGGCTGTTTGTATATCTTCTTTGAGAAATATCTATTTGAGTTTTTTTGCCCATTTTTAATTGAGTTTTGTTGTTGTTGTTGTTGAGTTGTAGTTCTGGATATTAACTTCTTATCAGATATATGATTTATAGATATTTTCTCCCATTTTGCAGGTTGCCTTTTCACTCTGTTGATTGTGTCATTTGATGCACAAAGGCACACTTAAAAAAAATTTAGAGACAGGATCTCACTCTGTTGCCCAGGCTGGAGTGCAGTGTCATGATCATAGCTCACTGCAGCCTAGATTCCTAGGCTCAAGCAATACTCCAATTTCAGCCTCACAAGTAGCTGGGACTGCAGGTATACGTGACAGCACTTGGCTGATTTTTAGAGACTTTTTTAGAGATGAGGGTCTTGCTATGTTACCCAGGCTGGTCTGGAACTCTTGGCCTCAAGTGATCGTCTTGTCTTAACCTCCCAAGTAACTGGGATTACAGGTGCCAGCCACCATTCTGAGCCTTAGGCATACTCTTTATCCACACATCTTTTTATGAAATACTCAGTGTCTACTTGATCTCCGGTTTGGGCCTAGCATTAAGGGAGGCACCAATGAATGACTCCTGACTCATGTTAGTCAGTTTTACATTTCTGTAAAGGAATACCTGAAGCTGAGTAATTTATAAAGAAAAGAGGTTTATTGGGCATGATTCTGTAGGTTTTACAAGCATTGCACCAACATCTGCTCAGCTTCTGGTGAGGCCTCAGGAAGCTTTTATTCATGGCAGAAATTGAAGGGGGAGCAAGTGTGTCATATGGCAAGAGAGGGAGCAGGAGTGAGAGGAGGAAGTGCCAGCCTCCTTTAAACAACCAGCTCTTGCATGAACACACAGAGTGAGAATTCATTCATTACCATGGGGAGGGCACCAAGCCACAATGAGGGATTTTCCCCCATGACCCAAGCACCTCCCACCAGGCTCCACCACCACCATTGAAGATCACATTTCAACATGAGATTTGGAGGGGACAAACATCCAAACCATAGCAGTCCTTGACTTTAGAGAGCTCTGAATCCAGCAGAGGAGACAGAGAACAACATTGCATTGTGGGAACTTCTGTGGCAGAAGGAGTATAGTGGACTCACATTTGAGAGCATAGGTGGGGGTGTAGTTGGTCAAGCGAGACTGGGAATGTGTGATCAGGGAAGTCTTCCTGGAGAATATATCAGCTGGTGAGGTCCTGAAAATTTTCCTGGATCTGGCATGCAAAGGATAAGAGGCCTAGAAGAGCAGGGAATGACTTCTATTTGTCCCCCAGGAGAGAAGCATAGCTGGATATTGGCAGCAATAAGTTTAGGGAGAGGCAGAAGCCAGTTCATGGAGGACTTGCTTATCCTGTGGACCATACAAGGCTGTTGAGGGGTTTTAAGCAGATGGGTAGGTCAACACCATGACTTTTCCCTTTACCACAGCAGCCAATAGATACGTCTCCATTCAGTGTTTTATATTCCTGATGCTTGGGTTACTTCCATCTCTTAGCTATTGTGAATAATGCTGCTACGAACAAGGATGTATAAATATCTCTTCAAGACTATGCTTTCAGCCGGGCATGGTGGCTCACACCTGTAATCCCAGTACTTTGGAAGGCCAAGGTGGGTGGATCATGAGGTCAGGGGTTTAAGACCAGCTTGACCAACATGGTGAAACCCCATCTCTACTAAAAACACAAAAATTAGCCAGGCATGGTCACACATGTCTGTAATCCCAGCTACTCAGGAGGCTGAGGCAGGAGAATCGCTTGAACCTGGGAGGCAGAGGTTGCAGTGAGCAGAGATCGCGCCACTGTACTCCAGCCTGGGCGACAGACCAAGACTCTATCTCAAAAAAAAAAAAAAAAAGACTATGCTTTCAATACTTAGGGTATTTACCCAAAAGTGAGTTTATAGGATTATATGATAATTCTATTTGTAATGTTTTTATAGTCCCAGGAGGGATGCAGAGTCCTTTATTAATGCAGCCTTGTCCAAACCAGATCCTGAATAAAGTCAAAACTCAACCAACAGGTGGAAGTCCAAGAATCTGAGTGGAGACTCACCGAGGCGAAGGGGCCAACCATGGGAAAGGAGAGTGGATGGGGCTCAGGTGTATATTGCACATAATTCTGGGGGCTGCTGGTCCTTCTGAGGTGAGCTACTCTCAGCTTCCACCAAGTACAAACCATGTAACCCCAGATGAGTCATTTGAGCAGAGTCAGAGCCTGGGATTCCTCCCCCTCTAAAGCGGGGCCCATGGTATCCTTGGGGACTTTTGAAGAGAGTATGTCAGCTGAGCTCTGTCTCATTCCTCAAAATTATTTGACAAACGCTGGTAGCCCATCCACTGAGTCAGAAGCTTTTGAGCTGCTATAAAGCAATGTCCTCCAATGCAATGGCCAAAACTAAAGAAAATCATAATGTTTCTCTGTCACCTGCACCACATTTCAAGTGCTAAACGTGGCTACCTTAGTAGACAGTACAGAAAACAAATGTGGCTATGATTGCAGATGGCACTGCTGTGGAGATTTTGGGGAGCCCTAGAGGACCCCAGCATGCTGCTGCAGGGCCCTCAGGGCCTCCATCCCCTCACCTCTCTGGAAAAGCAGCTCTGATATTGTCTTCTGTCAACCCTGTGCTTGGAGAGATTATATTTTCCTTGCCAAAAGGGAAAGTGTGAAGACTGCTGTTTGCTTCAATGGATTTATTTTACATTAGGGGAACAGAGGTGCAGGGAGGGCCAGTGAGCCCTCGATGGTGTCTGTGAAACAGGCATAAACAAGCCTGGGATTCAGGTTCTCCTGGGAGCCGGTCCACTGGCCGCTTTCCACGTTAACTGCCCTTGTTTTGGGATCCCATACCTGCTCTGAGTCTTTCCAGAGCACAGCAGACCCCTCCTCCTCATCATCACCACCGGAAGACGTCAGGGAGGTCTGGGGGACTCTGTCTCATGGGGCCAACCCCAAATTTCCACTTCCCGCAGCTGTGGCTGTGGGGACTGTGCCCGTGGAGCTCGGTGCCATGGGCTTCACCTCAGTAGGAATCACCGCGTCCTCCATAGCAGCCAAGATGACATCTACAGCGGCCATTGCCAATGGGGGTGGAGTTGCCGCGGGCAGTCTGGTGGCTACTCTGCAGTCAGTGGGTGAGTGTTCTGGACAGGATGACCAGAGCCAGGAGATGATCCAGGCCTGAGGCTGAACCCCAGGGAGGCCTCTTCTCTCCCTGCACGTCCGTGATCCTCTGCCTCCTGGGCCCTTTGTCTTTCTCTCACTGTCCCCTCTTCTGGTTGGAGGTGGGACCAGGGGTGCAGCCTTGGACATCTGTGTTCCTGGTGAACCCTACAAAACCCAGGCATGTCCCTCCCCTCTCTGGGCCTTTGGAAGATAAGGAGCCTGCCATTTCTCAAAGGGTCTACCCTGTTCCTGGGATTCCCCACCAGCGTTATTGCCTCCTCTCCGGCCACTGGCCTGCAGCAGCCCCTCCCAAAGCAGAAATCCTAGGGTTTTAGGAAGTAGAGGCAGAGAACAGGGTTGGGCTGCCTGGGCCTCAGGCCTCCGGAGGGACCCAGGGTCTCTGGCCTCCAACCCCTGTTAGGAGCTGCTACCCCTCCCTGTGCCCTGTGCTCACCCTCTCTTCTCCCGCAGAGGCAGCTGGACTCTCTGTGACATCCAAAGTCATCCTGGGCTCTGCTGGGACAGCTCTTGGGGCTTGGCTGGGTTCACCCCTTCCACTCCCCCAGCTGAACACCACACTGAGGCAGGGAGCTGGCTCTCTTGGTGGAGATGACTCTCCTGGGCCTCTGGATGACAGTCTTCCAAAGGACAAGTCCCCTACTCCCAAAATTCTTCAAGGAAGCATGAAAAATAAAGATGCTGGTGATCTTCTCCTAGTGTCAGTTCTCTGTTCTTGTGGTCAGGATAGGGTACATCTCTGCTGCAGGAGTGCTGAACAGGGAGGGACTCAGGATGAAGGAGCATGGGATGTCCGTGACCAGAGCCAGGTCTGGCCCGAAGCTTTCCACTCATTCTGTGGTCCTGAGCAGGTCATGTCTGCTCTTTGAGCCTCAGTTCGCTGCTCTTCAGATGGGAGAGTCAGGCAGAGTCAGCATCATAGGATGATGTGGCTCTTGGGTCATTGCTTGAGCCATTGACCCTCAATTACGAAGCCCTTTGTCCTCACGCATGACTGATCCCTCCCTTTCCCACCTAGGACTCAGGGTATGGCTGTATGATTACTCTAGAAGTTCAGCAACGCTGCATTTGCCTGGCCTGTGAGCCTTCTCCACACGGGTAGAGAAGTTTATTCCTCCAGGGAACTCTGTCCCTCTCAGCACACAGCCCAAGCTCCTCAGTCCCCAGGTGGACTGAGCAGAGCCCGTGAGGATGGACAACGGGCTGGGGCTCCTGAGCAGCAGGCCAATGCAGAACATCCATTTCCAGAGACCTACTGTGTGCCTGGCCCCAGATCAGGTGCCAGCTGTCCTATGCACACTGACCTGGCATCTGCCATCCGGCACCTACCTGGCCGTGAGGATAAGTAAACCACACTTGACTTCTGGAAGGCCTGTTTAGACTCGGCCTCTGACCTCAACGTCAGTCCCACTCTGGGCTATTTGACCTTCACACTTATTTTTCCTTTACAGCTGCATTCCCACAGGACTCTCCCTGGGATGCTGGCTGAGCTGACTCCCACAGCTCCCAACGGGCCTCAAGGCTCCATCCCACGTGATCGCCCTGGCTACAGAGGATCACAGAGGTCCACCTCTGCCCAGGGTGCACAATGCTGGGGAAGCCAGCCCTTAACCAGTGATGTTAAGGGACTTGGGGTAAATTACAGAAATGACCACATTCTTTGCCCTTTCAGCATGGCTGTACAGCTCCTCCCGTCAAGAGGTAGGGATTTCTTTCCCCTCCCTTTGAATCTCTTCTGGCCTCGGGAGTTGCTCTGGCCTGGCGGATAGAACACAGTGGAAGTGATGGCGTGCTAATCTTGAACCTAGTCCCTAAGAAACCTTGCAGCCTTCTGCTGTACCTCCCGGACCCCATCACTGCCATGAGAACAAGCCAGGCTGGGCAAGCACACAAAGTTCATTCATTCCAGACAAGACCCCAGACATGGCAGCACGCCCAGCCAAGTTCTGCAAAGCCGACCTGCAGCTGACTGCAGATGGGTGAGGGGCCCAGCCGAGACCAGAAGAACAACCTGCCTAGATTGCTGACCCACAGAATCAGGAGCTACATAGCTTTTTTAAGCCACTAAATTGTGTGGTCACTTTTTATCCAGCCATAGGTGACTGACAACATAAGACAATGTGTATCATCACTGAAGAGGATCAGGCTATATGGCTTGTAGGACAGAGAAGGAAGTGATTGATTCTAATTGTAGCAACCTGGGAAGACTTCCTGGAGTAAGGGCTGTTTGACCTAAGGATTATGGAGTTGTAAGTACCAGAAACTTGATCGCAACTTGCTCAGAGTTCAAGGGACTTCATTGCTTTAAGAAATGGAAAGGTCCAAAGATAAAGTATGCTTCAGGCAGGGTTTGATTCAGCAACACGGATGCCAAAGACCTGTCTTTTCTATTCTTCGTTTCTGAGGCATCGGGTTCATCCTGTGGCTGCCAGCTCTTGTGGTTACAAGACAGCTGTTAGCAAGTTCTGGAAGCTACCTTCTTTATTCATGTCTCCCAGAAAGAACATGTTTTCATGTACTTCCTCCTGAAAAGCAAAGAAACATCTTTCCCAAATACCTCTAGTAAATGTTCATGCTGCAATCTTAAATGGAGTCATTTACTCATTCCTAAAACCCTTTAGTTAGGCCCAAAGGATGGGTGGGGTGTGATGACTGGTTTAAGTCCACCTTGGCTCACCTTTAGAAAGTGCAAGGAGAGCCCATGCCTCTGATAACACTCATAGGTCAGGGCAGGGGCTCCTATACCTGCAAGAGGAGGCTTCTGTTTCAAAGAAGAGAGGGGGGTAAGAGACACTGAGTGCCCACACAGTGTCCTGTACAGACAGCGTGGGCATTGTTCTCAGGGAAGACAGCGCCTCAAGGATCCTTGGGGGAAACCAAAGCAGGCTCCCACCAGGTTCACTGCTTTCTGTGTCTTGTTATCCTCACCACTCTAGCCATTAAGGAAGAGCACACCGGACCCGAAGGCAAGTGGACTGTAGGTTACTGTCTTTTTATTTTTAACTTTACAATATGGGATTATATTATTTTCTAATGAAAACCAACATTTTATTACATTTTAATTACTTAAGAGATCTTGAAGTAGCTTTGACTCTTAAAAATCTGAATTCCTATAGGTAAGGCTAAAGCCCCTTTGGCTCTGATAAGCATCCTTGCCCCTCGTTACAGCCCCTACTCCCACTCTCAGAAGTAAAGCACTGCTGTAATTTCTTACGTTCCTTTCCAGGGACCCCCCTTTTATACTGTGATAAAAATTCATAAAATTTACCATCTTGACCATTTTTTTAAGTACAGTTCAGCAATGTTAGGTATATATTCACGTTGCTGTGAAACATCTCCAGAATTTTTTCATCTTGCAAAACTGAAACTCTGTTCCCATTAAACAGCTCCGCTCTACCCCTCCCCCTGCCCCTGGTAACCACCATTCTACTTTCTGTCTTTGTGAATTTGACGACTCTAGGTACCACTTATTGGCGGAATTATATAGTATTTGTCGTGTGCGTGTATGTGTGTGTAGAGATGGCTTTTTTTCCTCCGTGTTGCCCAAACTGATCTCAAATTCCTGGGCTCAGCTGATCCACCCACCTTGGGCTCCCAAAGTGCTGGGATTACAGGTGCGAGCCACCGTGCCTGGCCAAAACTATATAGTATTTGTCTTTTTGTGACTGGCTTATTTCACATGCTTATGTTCTCATCCATGATGCAGCATGTGACAGAATCTCCTTCCTCTTTAAGGCTGAACGACATTCCATTGGCTGCATCGATCACATTTTGTTGATCCATTCACCCATCAGTGGACACTTGGGCTGCTTCCACCTCTTGGCTTTTGTGCATAGTGCTGCTATGTATGTGGGTATGCAAATATCTCTTTAAGATGCAGTGTCTTAGGCCGTTTGCACTGCTGTAACAAAATACCATAGACTAGGTAGCTTATAAAACAGAAATTTATTTCCCACAGTTCTAGAAGCCGGGAAGTCCAAGATTAAGAGGCGTCAGCCCCCTTGGTGTCTGGTCAGGTCCCTTTCCTGGTTTGTAAATGGTGCTTTCCTGGTTTGTAAATGGTGCTTTCTCTGTGTCCTCATCATGGTAGTGGGCTAAGGCAGCTCACTGGGGGCCTCTTTTATAAAGGCACGAATCCCATTCATTAGGGCTCTGCTCTCCTGATTTAGTCACCTCCCAAAAGTTTCATCTCCCAGTACCATCACCTTTGGGGTTATGATTTTAACAAATTTGGCGGGGACATAGCATTCAGACCATAGCACCCTGCTTTCAATTCTTTGGGGTATATACCCAGAGGTGGGGTTCCTGGACCATATAGTAGTTCTCTTAATTTTTAAAGGAACTTCCATACTGTTTTCCATAGCAACTACTCCATCTTACAATCCCACCAACAATGTACAACGGTTCCAGTTATATAAGGGCCAACACTTTTTATTTTCTGGTTTTTTGATAGCAGCCATCCTAATGGTGGTGAGGTGGTATCTCATTGTGGCTTTGATCTGCATTTCCCTAATGATTAGTGATCTTAACTTTTCATGTACTTTTTGGACATTTGTATATCATATTAGTTCATTTTGCACTGCTGTAAAGGCATACCTGAGACTGGAGACTGAGTACTTATAAAGAAAAGAGGAGTATTTGGCTCATGGTTCTGCAGGGAGCATGGCACTGATATCTGTTCGGCTTCTGGAGTGGCCTCAAGAAACTTGTACTCACAATGGAAGGCAAGGGGAGCTGACATCACACGGCGCGAGAGCAAGAGGAAGGCAGGAGGTGCCAGGGTCTCTTCTGCAGTCAGATCTTGCAGTAACTAATAGAGTGAGAGCTAACTCATTACTGCGAGGACAGCGCCAAGCACCCCCATGACCCTAACACCCACGACTAGGCCTCATCTCAAACACTGGAGATTACATTTTAACATGAGATTTGGAGGGGGCAAATATTTAAACTATAGCATAGATCATCTTTGGGGAAATGCCCATGTAAGTCTTTTGCCCGTTTTATTGATATATGACTTATTATTGTTATTATTTCAGATGGAGTTTCACTCTTCTTGCCCAGGCTGAATGCAATGGCGCAATCTCGGTTCACTTCAACCGCTGCCTCCCAGCTTCAGGCGATTCTCCTGCTTCAGCCTCCCAAGTAGCTGGGATTACAGGCACACACCACCACACCTTGCTAATTTTTTGTAGTTTTAGTAGAGACAGAGTTTCACCATATTGGTCAGGCTGGTCTTGAATTCCTGACCTCAGGTGATCCGCCTGCCTCAGCTTCCCAAAGTGGTGAGATTACAGGCGTGAGCCACCACTCCTGCTTTTGCTCATTTTAAAATTGGGTTATGTGATTTTTTGTTGTTGAGTTGTAGCATTTTTTTGTATACTCCGAATATTCACTCTTCATTGCCAAGTCCAATGTCATGAATAATTTCCCCTATGTTTTCTTCTAGGAGTTTCATAGTTTTATGGCTCACATTTAGGCAATTAGTTCTCCATGCCCTTTTAAAGTTATTTCTGTGGATAGTTGATAAAAGAGATACATAGGTATCTCCACAGAAAATATTTTTTATGTAGTTCTGTTATATGCATTTTTATTGCTACAATTTTGTTTAACCTAACACATACTGTTCTGATGTTGGCTTTTTTATATTTTATAAGTCTTTTTAAATTATTTTTAATTGCTGCTTAGTATTCTATGATAATGATCCACCACGTTTTATTTTGTCTTTTCCCTTTTAATGGTACTTGTGTAGCTGGTTGCTAAAGGAACATTTCCTACTTTGGAGAAATTACTTTTCTTCTTATTATTATACTTTTAAGTTCTAGGGTACATGTGCACAACATGCAGGTTTGTTACATAGGTATACATGTGCCATGTTGGTTTGCTGCACCCATCAACTCGTCATTTACATTAGGTATTTCTCCTAATGCTCTCCCTCACTCAGCCCCCTCCCCGCAACAGGCCCAGTGTGTGATGTTCCCCTCCCTGTGTCCGTGTGTTCTCATTATTCAATTCCCACTTGAATAATGAGTGAGAACATGTGGTGTTTGATTTTCTGATTTTCTGTACTTGTGATATTTTGCTGAGAATGATGGTTTTCAGCTTCATCCATGTCCCTGCAAAGGACATGAACTCATCCTTTTTTATGGTTGCATAGTATTCCATGGTATATATGAGCCACATTTTCTTTATCCAGTCTATCATTGATGGGCACTTTGATTGGTTCCAAGTCTTTGCTATTGTGAATAGTGCCACAATAAACATACGTGTGCACGTGTCTTTATAGTAACATGATTTTATAATCCTTTGGGTATATACCCAGTAATGGGATTGCTGGGTCAAATGGTATTTCTAGTTCTAGATCCTTGAGGAATCACCACAAACTAATTTACACTCCCACCAACAGTGTAAAAGCGTTCCTATTTCTCCACATCCTCTCCAGCATCTATTGCTTCCTGACTTTTTAATGATTGCCATTCTAACTGGCGTGAGATGGTATCTCATTGCGGTTTTGATTTGCATTTCTCTGATGGCTAGTGATGATGAATGTTTTTTCATATGTCCGTTGGCTGCATAAATGTCTTCTTTTGAGAGGTGTCTGTTCATATCCTTTGCCCACTTTTTGATGGGGTTATTGGTTTTTTTCTTATAAATTGGTTTAAACTCTTTGTAGATTCTGGATATTAGCCCTTTGTCAGATGGATAGATTGCAAAAATTTTCTCCCATTCTGTAGGTTGCCCTGTTCACTCTGATGATAGTTTCTTTTGCTGTGCAGAGGCCCTTTAGTTTCATTAGATCCGATTTGTCTATTTTGGCTTTTGTGGCCATTGCTTTTGGTGTTTTAGTCATGAAGTCTTTGCCCATGCCTATGTCCTGAATGGTATTGCCGAGGATTTCTTCTAGGGTTTTTATGGTTTTAGGTCTTACATTTAAGTCTTTAATTCATCTTAAGTTAATTTTTGCATAAGGTGTAAGGAAGGGATCCAGTTTTCCCAGCACCATTTATTAAATAGGGAATCCTTTCCCCATTGCTTGTTTTTGTCAGGTTTGTCAAAGATCAGATGATTGTAGTATGTGTGGTGTTATTTCTGAGGCCTCTGTTCTGTTCCATTGGTCTATATATCTGTTTTGGTACCAGTACCATGCTGTTTTGGTTACTTATCCTTGTAGTATAGTTGAAGTCAGGTAGCGTGATGCCTCCAGCTTTTCTTTTTGCTTAGGATTTTCATGGCAATGCGGGCTCTTTTTTGGTTCCATATGAACTTTAAAGTAGTTTTTTTCCAATTCTGTGAAGAAAGTCATTGGTAGCTTGATGGGGATGGCATTGAATCTATAAATTACCTTGAGCAGGATGGCCATTTTCATGATACTGATTCTTCCTATCCATGAGCACGAAATGTTCTTCCATTTCTTTCTGTCCTCTTTTATTTCATTGAGCAGTAGTTTGTAGTTCTCCTTGAAAAGATCCTTCACATCCCTTGTAAGTTGGATTCCTAAGTATTTTATTCTCTTTGTAGTAATTGTGAATGGGAGTTCGCTCATGATTTGGTTCTCTGTTTGTCTGTTCTTGTACAGGAATGCTTGTGATTTTTACACATTGATTTTTGTATCCTGAGACTTTGCTGGAGGAGATTTTGGGCTGAGATGATGGGGTTTGTAAATATACAATCATGTCATCTGCAAACAGAGACAATTTGACTTCCTCTTTTCCTAATTGAATACCATTTATTTCTTTCTCTTGCCTGAGTGCCCTGGCCAGAACTTCCAATACTATGTTGAATAGGAGTGGTAAGAGAGGGCATCCTTGTCCTGTGCCAGTTTTCAAAGGGAATGCTTCTAGTTTTTGCCCATTCAGTATGATACTGACTGTGGGTTTGTCATAAATAGCTGTCCCTTAGTATTTTGAGATATGTTCCATCAATACCTAGTTTATTGAGAGTTTTTAGCATGAAAAACTGTTGAATTTTGTCTAAGGCCTTTTGTGCATCTGTTGAGATAATCATGTGGTTTTTGTCATTTGTTCTGTTTATGTGATGGATTACATTTATTGATTTGCATATGTTGAACCAGCCTTGCATCCTAGGGATGAAGCTGACTTGGTCATGGTGGATAAGCTTTTTGATGTGCTGCTGGATTCGGTTTGCCAGTATTTTATTGAGGATTTTCGCATCGATGTTCATCAGAAATATTGGCCTAAAATTCTCTTTTTTTGTTGTGTCTCTTCCAGGCTTTGTTATCAGGATGATGCTGGCCTCATAAAATGAGTTAGGGAGGATTCCCTCTTTTTCTGTTGATTGGAATAGTTTCAGAAGCAATGGTACCAGCTCCTCTTTGTACCTCCAGTAGAATTCAACTGTGAATCTGTTTGGTCCTGGACTTTTTTGGTTGGTAGTCTATTTATTACTGCCTCAATTTCAGAACTTGTTATTGGTCTATTCAGAGATTCAGCTTCTTCCTGGTTTAGTCTTGGGAGGGTATATGTGTCCAGAAATTTATCCATTTCTTTTAGATTTTCTAGTTTATTTGTGTAGAGGTGTTTATAGTAT